TTTAACTGCAGACTGTCAGCTTTAATTTGAGGGTATTTACATCCAAATCAGGTGAACGGTGTAGGAATTACAACAGTTTGCATATGTGCCTCCCACTTGTGAAGGGACCAAAAGTAATGGGACAGAATAATAATCATAAATCAAACTTTCACTTTTTAATACTTGGTTGCAAATCCTTTGCAGTCAATTACAGCCTAAAGTCTGGAACACATAGACATCACCAGACGCTGGGTTTCATCCCTGGTGATGCTCTGCCAGACCTCTACTGCAACTGTCTTCAGTTCCTGCTTGTTCTTGGGGCATTTTCCCTTCAGTTTTGTCTTCAGCAAGTGAAATGCATGCTCAATCGGATTCAGGTCAGGTGATTGACTTGGCCATTGCAGAACATTCCACTTCTTTCCCTTAAAAAACTCTTTGGTTGCTTTTGCAGTCTGCTTTGGGTCATTGTCCATCTGCACTGTGAAGCGTCCAATGAGTTGTGAAGCATTTGGCTGAATATGAGCAGATAATATTCCCGAAACACTTCAGAATTCATCCGGCTGCTTTTGTCAGCAGTCACATCATCAATAAATACAAGAGAACCAGTTCCATTGGCAGCCATACATGCCCACGCCATGACACTACCACCACCATGCTTCACTGATGAGGTGGTATGCTTAGGATCATGAGCAGTTCCTTTCCTTCTCCATACTCTTCTCTTCCCATCACTCTGGTACAAGTTGATCTTGGTCTCATCTGTCCATAGGATGTTGTTCCAGAACTCTGAAGGCTTTTTTAGATGTCGTTTGGCAAACTCTAATCTGGCCTTCCTGTTTTTGAGGCTCACCAATGGTTTCCATCTTGTGGTGAACCCTCTGTATTCACTCTGGTGAAGTCTTCTCTTGATTGTTGACTTTGACACACATACACCTACCTCCTGGAGAGTGTTCTTGATCTGGCCAACTGTTGTGAAGGGTGTTTTCTTCACAAGGGAAAGAATTCTTCAGTCATCCCCCACAGTTGTTTTCCATGGTCTTCCGGGTCTTTTGGTGTTGCTGAGCTCACCGGTGCGTTCCTTCTTTTTTAGAATGTTCCAAACAGTTGTTTTGGCCACGCCTAATGTTTTTTGCTATCTCCCTGATGGGTTTGTTTTGTTTTTTCAGCCTAATGATGGCTTCACTGATAGTGACAGCTCTTTGGTTCTCATCTTGAGAGTTGACAGCAACAGATTCCAAATGCAAATAGCACACTTGAAATGAACTCTGGACCTTGTATCTGCTCATTGTAATTGGGATAATGAGGGAAAAACACACACCTGGCCATGGAACAGCTGAGAAGCCAATTGTCCCATTACTTTTGGTCCCTTAACAAGGGGGAGGCACATATGCAAACTGTTGTAATTCCTACACCGTTCACCTGATTTGGATGTAAATACCCTCAAACTAAAGCTGACAGTCTGCAGTTAAAGCACATCTTGTTTCATTTCAAATCCATAGTGGTGGTGTATAGAGCCACAAATGTTAGAATTGTGTCGATGTCCCAATATTTATGGACCTGATTGTATGTCCATCGGAGCTTGCAAATGATTTTTTAAAATGTGAGTGTAATGGTGAACATTAATTATATTTTTTTCCTTTATGCTATATTACACAATTAGTTTTTTCTTTTTTCTTGGAGTGTGGAGATTCGTTCAGTGCTATATTACCCCCGGTTCAGTTTTTTGGCGCAGGTTATTCCACAATATAGGATTCAAAACATGATATGCGTTTACAGTGTGAGCAGCGGGCCCTTCGGACGGACGAGAGCTCCATTCTCCAGTCCATATTTGTATATTTGGAGTCACTAATGACCATCTCCTATGAGGGTGGCGGGGGACCTCTGTGTGTTTTAGGATTAGTGGCATGCGCTCGGGAAGAAAGTGTCAAAAAGACTGATGTATGGTAGGTGACCCCGGGCCTGACCCTTTATATTGCAGGCCTTTGGTGTCACTCACACTTGTGCTATGGCTGTCCTATATATCGTTAGTCTCATAGGAGGTGACAGCTCTTTCAAAGGAGATTCCTGGCCTGTGCGGGAATCCTCTAATTATAGGACAGACGTCTCTCCCCTCCTGTCCGCTGCCATAACCCAGACTGACAGTGATGGGTGTCAGATGATGGCCCTTTTATGTGTGCCTGTGTCTGACATTCAGCCCATGTAATCAGGTGATGAGCTAATATTAATATACCGGATTAAAACAATAATGCAAAGAGACAACCCGGCTAATTTCCTGCAGTGACGGAAGGAAAAGGCGTACTCCCTCCATCGGGAGGACGAAGGGGATATAGATCCGATATGGGTAAATGATAGATAACCATTCAATAATCGATAGAAAATTCTGTTGGTATACAGTCCTATTATAACATGGCAGCACAGTGGCTAAGAGGTTAGCACTTCCACCTGGTTGTTGGTTCTAGCCACAGCACCACCTACCTGGAGTTTGCATGTTCTCCCTGTGCCTGCGTGGGTTTCCTCCGGGTACACCAGTTTCCTCCCACAGTCCAAAGACATGCTGGTAGGTTAATTGGCTCCTGTCTAAATTGTCCCTAGTATGTGTATGTATGAATGTGAGTTAGGGACCTTAGATTGTACACCCCTTGAGGGTTAGGGACCTTAGATTGTACGCCCCTTGAGGGTTAGGGACTGATGTGAATGTACAATATATATGTAAAGTGCTGTGTACATTGACGGCGCTATATAAGTACCTGAAATAAATATTGTGCAAAAAACTTTAGATTTTTCAGCAGATGTAAAGAGAGGACCTACCTAACCAGACATACATTTAAGGGGTTGCTATCACTGAACTCCAGGCAGATATAAAAGGCAAACATTAACGCAGCTCTGTATTCATTATTACCTCTGTATTCATTATTACATCATTAACCCCTTGCCCTCCAGAGATTTACCCCCCCCCCTCTTCCTGACCAGGCCATTTTTTTGCAATATGGCGCTGCGTTACTTTTTACTGACAATTGCGCGGTTGTACAATGCTGCAGCCAAATTAAATTTGTCTTTTTTCCCCCCACAAATGGAGCTTTCTGCACATGCTCAGTTTGGTTTGTACTGCTGTAGAGGTTTTTTTTTTTTCTTCGGAGAGTGCATGTGTTCAGCACAGGACCAATCAGCAGAGGGTCAGGGGTTCTGCATCCTCCTAGAGCAGAAAGAAAACTCCTCCTTTAAACTTTAACCAGTGCGCTGCTGGACACTGATAGAAGTCACAAGACTGCTATGTACTGCTGATGAGAAAATGTATTTAGCAGTTTATATTTACTAAAATAATTGCATTTCCATGTTGTGTGTACTGTGGGAGAGCAGATATAGTGAATGCAGGGTCCGGGGAGAGCAGATATAGTGAATGCAGGGTCCGGGAAGACCGGATATAGTGAATTCAGGGTCCGGGGAGACCGGATATAGTGAATGCAGGGTCCGGGAGAGCGGATATACTGAATGCAGGGTCTGGGGAGAGCGGATATAGTGAGTGCGGGGTCCTGGGAGACCGGATATAGTGAATGCGGGGTCCGGGGAGAGCGGATATAGTGAGTGCGGGGTCCTGGGAGACCGGATATAGTGAATGCGGGGTCCGGGGAGAGCGGATATAGTGAGTGCGGGGTCCGGGGAGAGCGGATATAGTGAATGGAGGTTCCGGGGAGACCAGATATAGTGAATGCAGGGTCCGGGGAGAGTGGAAATAGTGAATGCAGGGTCCGGGGAGACCAGATATAGTGAATGGAGGTTCCGGGGAGACCGGATATAGTGAATGTAGGGTCCGTGGAGACCAGATATAGTGAATGCAGGGTCCGGGGAGAGCGGATATAGTGAATGTAGGGTCCGGGGAGAGCAGATATAGTGAATGCAGGGTCCGGGGAGACCGGATATAGTGAATGCAGGGTCCGGGGAGAGCGGATATACTGAATGCGGGGTCTGGGGAGAGCGGATATAGTGAGTGCGGGGTCCTGGGAGACCGGATATAGTGAATGCGGGGTCCGGGGAGAGCGGGGTATAGTGAGTGCGGGGTCCTGGGAGACCGGATATAGTGAATGCGGGGTCCGGGGAGAGCGGATATAGTGAGTGCGGGGTCCGGGGAGAGCGGATATAGTGAATGGAGGTTCCGGGGAGACCAGATATAGTGAATGCAGGGTCGGGGAGAGTGGAAATAGTGAATGCAGGGTCCGGGGAGACCAGATATAGTGAATGGAGGTTCCGGGGAGACCGGATATAGTGAATGCAGGGTCCGGGGAGACCAGATATAGTGAATGCAGGGTCCGTGGAGACCAGATATAGTGAATGCAGGGTCCGGGGAGAGCGGATATAGTGAATGTAGGGTCCGGGGAGAGCAGATATAGTGAATGCAGGGTCCGGGGAGAGCGGATATAGTGAATGCAGGGTCCGGGGAGAGCGGATATAGTGAATGCAGGGTCTGGGGTTTAGTAAACTTTAAATGTCTGTTTTTTAAATTCAAGCAATGTAAGTCCCTGACGTTGACCTGATATTAGCCTCTTGCAGTCTCTGTACAGCTGAGCTCAGAGAAGGGGAGGAAGAAGCAGCACAAGGAGCTAAGCAGGCATGTAGCAAGGCAAGCAGCATGCTGATAGGAGGAGAACAAAAGGAGTATGTTGGTAGCAGGAGAGAGCAAAGTGACAGAGAGATGAGCTCATCAGTCTATTGTTCCTGCTTTATTGGCCTATCACAAGCAGGGGGTTGGTAAAGGAGGCTTGTAAGTGAAAGTGAAACTGCAGCAGAACAAGATCATCTCCCTTCCCCTGCCAGACACAGCTGTGCTGTATGGCAGAGCTGTCTGAATCTCAGAACTGGATGGACACAATTACAAATCTTTTAGCAGATATAACAGCCCCAATGTATGTAGTTCATCTGTTTTTTTAGCTGTTTGCGTGGAGTTCTACCTTAAAACAAAATGCCATCTTGTTCTGATATTTTGGAAAACAATATAACACTGATAACATTTATCTATACCTACAGACGCCATGGCTGAGAAAAAGGTGCCCACTGCAAAGTCAAAATCTGCTGATAAACCTAAATTGGCCCCGGGGGCCACAAGCGGCTACTACACCGACTCTCTGGGGTTCATGGCCATGGACAGCAATGTACCCGGCTTGTCCAACGTCATCCTGCAGAAACTGAACATGGGGAGCTTCGAGGAGTACAGGTGACTAGAGAGACTCCATGTTGTCCCTGGTTCTTCCACATCTAACTTCTAAGCTGAAATAATAGTAACCCAATGTGGATATTTTTTTTCTTTGCTTAGCCTATCTCAGTATTTCACGTCTGTCCGTCTCTCTGCTCCTCACAGGTCTGCGGTGGAAGGTAATGATCTTGCTGAAAATTTTGGCTTCAGGTCATATTCGGAGATGTTTCAGAAGATGGAAGACACCTATAAATTCTGCGTCCAGTGCAAGAAGCTCCCGTCCAGTGCTCCCGAGGGCCGTAGTATGAGGCGTTGTAAAAGGTAGAGTCCGCTGTTACGTTGTACGTTGTCACACCATCTCATCTTCAAGAACAGAACTTCTGCCACGTTCACAGTACCATTCCACCACAAGAGACTAGGGGAGGTCAGAGGAACTACTTGACCCAGCTATCCCAACAGTACACTGCCACCAGGATCTGGTAATAAAGTAGTCCTCACAAGGCCAGGGGAGCAGCTGTGCCCATACAGCTTCCTCCAGGTGCCTTCATGTGAGGCTGTGCAGACTGGATCCTTCAAGTGGTTCTAAACCTCAGACATGAAATATGAACAAAGCATATCCCTCTATAGGGTGTACTTGTCTCAATCCAGAGCAGATATGAAATATGAACAAAGCATATCCCTCTATAGGGTGTACTTATCTCAATCCAGAGCAGACATGAAATATGAACAAAGCACATCCCTCTATAGGGTGTACTTGTCTCAATCCAGAGCAGACCTACAATGTGAACAAAGCCTATCCCTCTATAGTGTGTACCTGTCTCCATCCAGAGCAGACATGAAATATGAACAAAGCATATCCCTCTATAGTGTGTACTTGTCTCAATCCAGAGCACTAAATGTCAATTCTGTTTGCTACATAGTTACATAGTTAGTCTGGCTGAAAAAAGACAAAAGTCCATCCAGTTCAACCATGAAAAAAAAAAAGTTATAATCCTACACCCACAGTTGATCCAGAGGAAGGCAAAAAAAAACCCTGCAAAGCACGATCCAATTTGCTCCTGCAGGGAAAAAATTCCTTCCGGATCCCCTGAAGAGGCGATTGGATATTCCCTGGATCAACTTTACCTATAAATGTTATATCCAGTTATATTCTGTGTATCCAAGAAAGAATCCAAGACTTTCCTACAGCAATCCACTGAGCTGGCCACAACCAACTCTGGAGGGGAGTCTATTCCACATTTTCACACCTCTTACTGTGAAGAAACCTTTCCGTGTTTGGAGATTAAATTTCTTTTCCTCCAGATGTAAAGAGCGCCCCCTTGTCCTCTGTGATGACCTCAGGAGGAATAACTACACTGAGTTCACTGTATGAGCCACTGATGTATTTTTTAACATGGAGATCATATCCCTCCTTATGTATTATACATGGAGATCATATCCCTCCTTATGTATTATACATGGAGATCATATCCCCCTTATGTATTATACATGGAGATCATATCCCCCCTTATGTATTATACATGGTGATCATATGCCCCCTTATGTATTATACATGGAGATCATATCCCCCCTTATGTATTATACATGGAGATCATATCCCCCTTATGTATTATACATGGAGATCATATCCCCCCTTATGTATTATACATGGAGATCATATCCCCCTTATGTATTATACATGGAGATCATATCCCCCCTTATGTATTATACATGGAGATCATATCCCCCCTTATGTATTATACATGGAGATCATATCCCCCCTTATGTATTATACATGGAGATCATATCCCCCCTTATGTATTATACATGGAGATCATATCCCCCCTTATGTATTATACATGGAGATCATATCCCCCTTATGTATTATACATGGACATCATATCCCCCCTTATGTATTATACATGGAGATCATATCCCCCTTATGTATTATACATGGTGATCATATCCCCCCTTATGTATTATACATGGAGATCATATCCCCCTTATGTATTATACATGGTGATCATATCCCCCCTTATGTATTATACATGGTGATCATATCCCCCCTTATGTATTATACATGGAGATCATATCCCCCCTTATGTATTATACATGGAGATCATATCCCCCCCTTATGTATTATACATGGAGATCATATCCCCCCTTATGTATTATACATGGTGATCATATCCCCCCTTATGTATTATACATGGAGATCATATCCCCCCCTTATGTATTATACATGGAGATCATATCCCTCCTTATGTATTATACATGGAGATCATATCCCCCCTTATGTATTATACATGGAGATCATATCCCCCCTATGTATTATACATGGAGATCATATCCCCCCCCCCCTTATGTATTATACATGGAGATCATATCCCCCTTATGTATTATACATGAAGATCATATACATGGAGATTCATGTCCCCCCTTATGTATTATACATGGAGATCATATCCCCCCTTATGTATTATACATGGAGATCATATCCCCCCTTATGTATTATACATGGAGATCATATCCCCCTTATGTATTATACATGGAGATCCTATCCCCCCCCTTATGTATTATACATGGAGATCATATCCCCCCTTATGTATTATACATGGAGATCCTATCCCCCCTTATGTATTATACATGGTGATCATATCCCCCTTATGTATTATACATGGAGATCATATCCCCCCTTATGTATTTATACATGGTGATCATATCCCCCCTTATGTATTATACATGGAGATCATATCCCCCCTTATGTATTATACATGGAGATCATATCCCCCCTTATGTATTATACATGGAGATAATATCCCCCCTTATGTATTATACATGGAGATCATATCCCCCCTTATGTATTATACATGGTGATCATATCCCCCCTTATGTATTATACATGGAGATCATATCCCCCTTATGTATTATACATGGAGATCCCATCCCCCCTTATGTATTATACATGGAGATCATATCCCCCTTATGTATTATACATGGAGATCCTATCCCCCCTTATGTATTATACATGGTGATCATATCCCCCCTTATGTATTATACATGGAGATCATATCCCCCCTTATGTATTATACATGGAGATCATATCCCCCCTTATGTATTATACATGGAGATCATATCCCCCCTTATGTATTATACATGGAGATCATATCCCCCCTTATGTATTATACATGGAGATCCTATCCCCCTTATGTATTATACATGGAGATCATATCCCCCCCTTATGTATTATACATGGAGATCATATCCCCCCCTTATGTATTATACATGGAGATCATATCCCCCCTTATGTATTATACATGGTGATTAGAGATGAGCGAATCGAACTCGGCGAAGTGGAATTCGTTTCGAATATTAGAAAAATTTCGAAATCCGAAAATTAGCAGACTTCGGATGCGCGAATCGAAATTTTTCCAAAAATGGCGGCGACATGTGCGGCGACGGAGCAGGGATCTCTGGGAAGGCGCGCAGACAAGGCGCGCTGACCCATAATGCATTCATTCATGACATGTGATCGCATTAGCCAATCAGCAGCCAGCCAGCCAGCACTGTGTAATGGTGGAGCTATAAATTGCGGCCATCTTACAATTCTCCATTTGCCTCTGGTCATTCAAGAGAGACAGATCTCTCTGTATTAGGGACACAGAACCGTTACTTAGGGACACAGAATCGTTATTTAGGGACACAGAACCGTTACTTAGGGACACAGAACCGTTACTTAGGGACACAGAACCATTACTTAGGGACACACAATCGTTACTTAGGGACACAGAACCGTTACTTAGGGACACAGAACCGTTACTTAGGGACACAGAATTGTTACTCAGGGACAGACAGACACAGAATTGTTACTCAGGGACAGACACAGAATTGTTACTGAGGGACACAGAATTGTTACTGAGGGACACAGAATTGTTACTCAGGGACACAGAATTGTTACTCAGGGACAGACACAGAATTGTTACTGAGGGACACAGAATTGTTACTGAGGGACACAGAATTGTTACTGAGGGACACAGAATTGTTACTCAGGGACAGACACAGAATTGTTACTGAGGGACACAGAATTGTTACTCAGGGACACAAAATTGTTACTCAGGGACAGACACAGAATTGTTACTGAGGGACACAGAATTGTTACTGAGGGACACAGAATTGTTACTCAGGGACAGACACAGAATTGTTACTGAGGGACACAGAATTGTTACTGAGGGACACAGAATTGTTACTCAGGGACACAGAATTGTTACTCAGGGACAGACAGAATTGTTACTGAGGGACACAGAATTGTTACTGAGGGACACAGAATTGTTACTCGAGGGACACAGAATTGTTACTCGGGGAAACAGAATTGTTACTCAGGGACAGACACAGAATTGTTACTGAGGGACACAGAATTGTTACTGAGGGACACAGAATTGTTACTGAGGGACACAGAATTGTTACTGAGGGACACAGAATTGTTACTCAGGGACAGACACAGAATTGTTACTGAGGGACACAGAATTGTTACTGAGGGACACAGAATTGTTACTCAGGGGACACAGAATTGTTACTGAGGGGACACAGAATTGTTACTGAGGGACACAGAATTGTTACTCAGGGACAGACACAGAATTGTTACTGAGGGACACAGAATTGTTACTGAGGGACACAGAATTGTTACTCAGGGACACAGAATTGTTACTGAGGGGAATTGGGACACAGAATTGTTACTGAGGGAACACAGAATTGTTACTCAGGGACAGACACAGAATTGTTACTGAGGGACACAGAATTGTTACTCAGGGACACAGAATTGAGGGACACAGAATTGTTACTGAGGGACACAGAATTGTTACTCAGGGACAGACACAGAATTGTTACTGAGGGACACAGAATTGTTACTGAGGGACACAGAATTCTTACTGAGGGACACAGAATTGTTACTCAGGGACACAGAATTGTTACTCAGGGACACAGAATTGTTACTCGGGGAAACAGAATTGTTACTCAGGGACAGACACAGATTTGTTACTGAGGGACACAGAATTGTTACTCAGGGACACAGAATTGTTACTCAGGGACACAGATTTTGTTACTCAGGGACAGACACAGAATTGTTACTGAGGGACACAGAATTGTTACTCAGGGACAGACACAGAATTGTTACTGAGGGACACAGAATTGTTACTGAGGGACACAGAATTGTTACTCAGGGACACAGAATTGTTACTCAGGGGACAGGGACACAGAATTGTTACTGAGGGACACAGAATTGTTTACTGGGGACACAGAATTGTTACTGAGGGACACAGAATTGTTACTCAGGGACAGACACAGAA